AACATCACTTAATATATGTCAAACCATAAGAGTTGAATTGCTTTTTTCAGCAGGATCACAGGAAGGTGCTTTCTTTCCCTCCCCATGCTCTCTCGCCCCCATTTATTTTTTTTAAATGCTTTCTGCTATCCAGCTCTTTTTGGGTGAACCTTGGTGAGGTATTTACAGTTCCTGTTTTACCCAATCCCATAGTTTGTCTTACAGGCATTATCAACTGTTATACATTTTTAGCTTATAAAGCTCTCAGGTTTGATTTTAACCATCATACAATCTGTATAAAAAGGTTGTGGCCTATTTCCATTTGTGTGTGGGAGAAACTATTGAAACATTATTGTGCTCAAATATCCGATAACATATGAGGAAGAAGAAACCATTTTGACAGTAATAGTGACACTGTAAACTCCTCTTTTCACTAAGAAGAGGGGTATTCTTTTTCTACATTACTTTAAGGTACTGATTTTATTACACAGCTTTTTGTTACTGTGTTCCCAGGCATTTCATTTTCATAAGTTTTAAGGACACTAACATAAAATATTTAAAAATTAAGACATTTTCCTTATTTGCTTGAAGCTGAAACTGTTTCTTTAGTGAAATATTCCCTTTTATTGTATGTGTTTGTTGGTTTGTGTTTAATAATGATTGGAATGCTGATGTATTTTAGAGGGCTTTTTTTAAAAAAAAGAGAACAAACAAAACTGTAGGAAACTTTGCAAACTGATAAAATAAAGTCATATAAAATGTTTAATCTCCCAGTTTCAACAGTATCTCTGGAATATATTTTTGTATGAGAAGCTGAGAAATTAGTTTTGTGATACAACCTAACACAGAAACAAAACAAGCAGCCACTTTTGACCCTTTTGAAAAGTGATTGTATAATTCTCATGATGACAGCCAGCAGCATTCTTTGATTTATAGCAGAGCAACTTTCATTTAATATTCACCATATGGCAATTTTCACCACCTACATTGTTCGAGACCCATGTCAGTCACACACAAAGCAGTGAACCTTATTCCCAAGCAATTCCACTAAAACAGAGGATGTGTCATGTGGCATGTTGATTGATAGCACAAAGCACTGATAATTAGATCTCTTTGAGTTCTTTATAACTGGGCTCTAGGCTTTTCAACCTCATCCCATTACTCTGATGCTATTGAATTATAAAATGCATTAGCTTGTTTTCAAATGGTGTATTTGAAAGATGTGGTGACAAAAAGTCATCATGGAGCAAACTTTCACGATACAACCCAAATCATTAGTTTAATTGATATTCCTTCATTAAAGAATTGGTTTTAATTTGCACTATGGAAATATCTTAGAAAAGATTTAGAGTCCTTAATCCCATATCTTAGCCTTCAAAGACAATATCTCATATTTTCTATTTTCTGGAGAAATTGTTTTCCTTAATCTTTGCTCTTTACTTTTTTATTTATATAATCATAAATCACGTGCTGCTTCATGGAATAAAAAGAATGCATGAACACTTGAGGCTGAATTTCAGGGTGCTGCGTCCTATTCTGTTGGTTGTTTTTTTTAAATGTATTACTGGAATGTTTTGAATTCAACAAATTGTCGTGTGTGTGTGTGTGTGTGTGTGTGTGCAGCACCACCTCTGCTGACAGGATTAAGAACCTGAAGAAGATCTCTGTGCAAGCTTGTGAGCTTCTCTTTCACCAATAGAAGTTGGGCTAATAAAAGATATTACCTCACGCACCTTGTGTCTCTGATATCCTAGGACCAATATGGCTACAGCAACACTGCAACCAAGGATTAAGAACTGTTTTATTGAACGACAGATGCTGTTGGACAGATTTTGCCACCATTATACTTGCTGAGTAGTACTTTACTCAGTGAGTAGTCCCCCAGTCTGGCTATATACTTCTAACAACTAGCTGCATTTCTTCTGTAGCTCAGGTGATAAGGGAACTTATTCTTTTGGAGCAATAGCTTCTGACTTCTATCCCACCTGCTGCTATGAAATTAAATGGCCATTGTGGCCAGCAGAGTGATGATTGCACACACATTTATTACACGTTAGAGACTAACAAATGTATTTGGGCAAAGCTTATGCCCAAACAAATGTGTTAGTCTCTAAGGTGCCACAAGGACTCCTCCTTGTTTTTGCTGATACAGATGAACACAGCTACCACTCTGAAATCTGTCACATTTATTACAGTATTTTTAGCAGCATGTATGTCAGTTGAACAAGAAAATTAGTCTTCTCCATTTTTTCCACTCTTTCCTGGCAGTAGAGAGAGGGAGAGAGAGAAATGTTCAATTTCTACTGTAAACATGCAAATTCTGGGCCACGTCCCGCTCCCTTTGAAATCTATGACAAACTTCCATGGACTTTTCCTGGGAGTTGCATCAGGAACTTTCTGATCTTAGAATTCCCTCTAAAAATACCAACTAGAATTAGATGATAAAAGAGAGCTAGAAATATATGACCTCTTGTCATAAATATAAAGGGAAGGGTAACCATCTTTCTGTATACAGTGCTATAAAATCCCTCCTGGCCAAAGGCAACATCCTGTTACCTGTAAAGGGTTAAGAAGCTCAGCTAACCTGGCTGGCACCTGACCCAAAGGACCAATAAGGGGACAAGATACTTTCAAATCTTGGGGGGGTGGGGTTGGGGGAGGGAAGGGTTTTGTTTGTGCTCTTTGATTACGTGGTTGATCTCTCTTGGGACTGAGAGAGGCCAGACAGAAATCCACCTTCTCCAACCCATCCTAATCCAAGTCTCCAATATTGCAACCACTATAGGTAAGCCCGGCAAGGCAGATTAGTTTATCTTTTGTTTTATGTGAATTTTCCCTGTGTTAAGAAGGAGATTGATTCCTGTTTTCTGTAACTTTAAGGTTTTCCCCCGAGGGAATCCTCTGTGTTTTGAATCTGAATACCCTGTAAAGTATTTTCCATCCTGATTTTACAGAGATGATTTTTACCTTTCTTTTTTTTTAAAATAAAATCCTTCTTTTAAGAACCTGACTGATTTTTCCATTGTTCCAAGATCCAGGGGTTTGGGTCTTTGATGATTTTGTAACAAATTGGTTAGGATATTACTTCTCAAGCCTCCCCAGGAAAGGAGGGCTTGGGGGGATATTTTGGGGGAAGACGTCTCCAAGTGGTCTCTTTCCCTGTTCTTTGTTTAAAACGCTTGGTGGTGGCAGCATACTGTTCAAGGACAAGGCAAAATTTGTACTTGGGGAAGTTTTTACCTAAGCTGGTAAGAATAAGCATGGGGGTCTTTCATGCGGGTCCCCACATCTGTACCCTAGAGTTCGGAGTGGGGAAGGAACCCTGACACCTCCTGAGGTCTCCTCCAACCCTAATCTATGATTCTATGATATTTTCTTTAACAGTTGTGAAAATAGAGGGCAGAGATAGCCAAATTGCAAGAGAACACTTGCTAGGAAAGACAAAGGTAATGACAGCCACGGAGTGTGGAACTGGATTGCAATAGTAGTTTTTTGCAAAAATACATATTTGGCTCAATCTGCTACATGAATGCTAGTCAGTAAAAAAATTGCCTGAACTTTACTGTGTTTCAGTGGCTGTCTCTGGTCAAATATTCAGGGGTAAAATTAGATAGTTATTCAAAACAGGATCATTCTGCTCCTCCTTTACTTCTGCTTTTCCAAACAGCAATTATAACAGCACACAGTGAACCAGGCTCAGCATGCCAAACTACCTTTAAATCTAGTGAAGCCACAAAAGGATTGGCAGTTGTTTTTGGATGAGCATCCATTCATGATGATGCTTATCCGAGCTATCCAACTTCTAGAAGTCCCTACAAAATATCACTGTTCAGCTACGTTAAATACATATAGCCCTCCACCAATAGGCCATCCCTCCGACAGCACCTTTGGTTCCTACTTTGTGGCATATTCTTGGGACTTTTCTGTTGACGCTCCTAGATGTTAATCCATCTTCTGATGTTAGATGGTTTCATGACAATCTTGTTTTTCCCCTCCATTAAATATTTCCTTGTTTTTGTCAAATGTTTGTGTATCTATTTATCTATTCTCTGATGGATGACATGTATTAATGCATGATGGCTCTCACTAACATTATTCATGGATTATATGCAGACAGTTCTTTTATATATAAATAGTGTAAAATTTTCAAAAGTACCTAAAGGGTATGGTTACACTGCAATAAGAGATCCACAGCACAGCTGCAGCTGGCCTGGGTCAGCTGACTTGGGCTTGCAGGGCTTGAGCTGCGGGGCTATAAAATTTCAGTGTAGACATTCAGGCTCAAGCTCTGGAACCCTCCCCTCCCATGGGGTCTCAGAGCTCAAGCTCTGGCCTGAGTCCAAATGTCTACACTACAATTTTATAGCCCGGCAAACCTGAATCAGCTGATCCAGGCCAGCTGCAGGTCTTTTATTGCATTGTAGACATACGCACAGTCACTTAGAAGCCTAAGTCTCATTGAAAGGACAAATTTCTTTGGGCCAATTTCTTAAAGGTATTTAGACACCTAAAGATGCAGATCAGAGCCTCATGGGAGTTTCATAAATCTGGCCTTTAGGCTTCTCAGTCTCCTACGCTCTTTTAAAAATTTTACCCAGAGTTTGCTTCACATTACTGTAGGTTTCCTGTTGAGTCTCCAATTTATTCTGATTATACTATGGGTGTCTGGCATACAAAGTGCATTTCTTTTGTCGCGTTCCGTATTGATAAGATAGTATTAAAATAAAATTAGGTACACACTTTGGCCCAGATCCTCAGCTGATGTAAATCCATGTAGTTCCATTGAAGTCAACTACTGCAATTTACTCAAGCTGAAGATCTGGCCCTTGATTTAGGTAGGTTTTCCAGTTAACAAAAATAATGCAGGAAAATGTAAGTTTTCTGTAGAAAAATTCTAATAGAAATTCCTTATCCATGCCTGTTCCATTAGCTATTATAGCTATTTAGCTAATAACTTTTTTGGACAAGCAATAACTTACTCTTTGAGAGACGGCCCCAAATTCTGTTTTTATATCTCACAGGCCAAGGACGTATGAAAAGGCTGCCAAATCTCAAAAACAGGTAGACTTCAGCTGAGGTGAAAATCGAGCTTGTGTGGCCCCAGAGGTAAACACTGACCAAGGTGAACCTGAATTTATGTATCATAAACTGTGAGCACTGTAGCATTAAAGTAACTAGTTTTCTCTTTTTGTCTTTTGACTGGGTCATCTGCACTTTGGGTTACTTTCTCTATCTGCTTAGATAGAAATATATCCAAAATTTTCAGCTGAAAAGAGAGGAAATGGTAAATTAGATCAAAGAATCATTCTTAGATTGAAAGGATGAGGAATCCGTAACACTTTGGGTGAAATCCTGGCTCCACTGGAGTCATTGAGAGTTTTGCTACTGACTTCCAAGGGGCCAGAATTTCACCCCCTGTTTTTTCCAGCCTTTGGTAAAGGACTGGTACCAAGCAGAAAGAAGAAACCACGCGTGGGTGCAATGAATATTGGTTACAATACTGTCTTTCAAAATGGAGAAGAAAAGTGGTAATACCATCATTATCAGCCATTATACTTTTGTTGCTAGATATCATACTTTAAGGTTAATAATTATTGTCTTTGTAGCAGTTAAAATGATACCAACATTATTGTGGTGTCTTGATTCAGAAGATTAAAACGTGTGGATCCTTTTTATTTTAAAAATCTGTAAACTGAGCATCTGAAATCAGGTAGCTTTAATTATTCCAAGCATTTTAGGGAAAATATCTAGGCTTGTCAAGGTTGTTTGAATCTTGTTGAGACAGAAATGAACGCAAACGTTACTTTATCTCATTGATAGTTAAATGAATAATTTCTCCGCTTTTTTAGCTGTAAAATCTCTCAGTGGGTTGAAAGATTAGCTAAAAGGGTTTCTGGATAGTCTCCAGGCTTTTAAAACTAATGCCATCAGTTTTGAATACATTTTGGAATAGCACAATCTTTTACCTACAGTCTAAAGGATTGAAATGCAGCTCCCACTGCCTGTCCGTGTAGGAGGTCAGGGAAATCCCTAATGTCTTGCTGACACAGTTTGCCCTTACCAGGTCACTTTCAAGGGACTTTATACAATGGTGACTAAGCTTAATGAAATGAAGCTATTCAGTATTGCCTTATAGTCCTGTCCTTCCACTTTTTGTAGTGGTGTAAGAATAAGCTGCTCTTGTCAAAGGGAGTCCCAAAATAGGGTGACTTTTTGAGATAAGACCCATCAAAAGGCACAAGGAAATCACAACTCAGAATCTGTACAAGCATCCCATGTCAATTTCAAATTTATGTTGCTATATGTCAATGAGCAGCTAACCAGAACTCATGCCTTGTGCTCAAATGCCATATGCAGTGTGGCAGAGTGATCAGCTGGGTCACTTCTTATTGTGCTGGTTATTATTGTTATTACTCATTCTGGGTATATCTCAAAGGTTCAGGTTTTTGATGTAAAGAGTTTCTTTCATGTGTTTGTTTTTGTGATTCTGCAAAAGTCAAATGAATCATGTTGTTTTTAACTTAAATAAAAAAGGCATAAATTCTACATCCTCACCTCCGTTACTCATTGTGACCTGCTTCATTAACCTTTGCAATTTCATAGCCACTAAGTACTATAGTTAGTACTTAGTGCAGAGGTGGGCAAACTACGGCCTGCGGGCCACATCCGGCCAGCGGGACCATCCTGCCCAGCCCCTGAGCTCCTGGCCCGGGAGGCTAGCCCCAAGCCTCTCCCCCGCTGTCCTCCCTCCCCCACAGCTATGCGGCCGCGCGGGCAGAGCTCTGGGCGGTGGGTCTGCGAGCTCCTGCAGGGCAGCATGGCAGCGTGTCTGGCTCTGGTCAGAGGGCGGGGCTGCCAGACATGCTGCTCTGAGTGGCATGGTAAGGGGGCTGGGGCTGGGGGGTTTGACAATGGGCAGGCGATCCCAAAGGGCAGTCAGGGGACAGGGAGCAGGGTGCAGTTGGATGGGGCGGAGGTTCTGGGGGTGCGGTCCTGGGGGGTGGTTAGGGGTGGGGGTCCCGGGAGGGAGTAGTCAGGGGACAAGGAGTGGGGGGAGGTTTGATGGGTGGAGGGTTCTGAGGGGGGCAGTCAGGGGGTGGGAAGTGGGAGGGGTCAGATAGGGGACGGGGGCCAGGCTGTTTGGGGAGGCACAGCCTTCTCTACCTGGCCCTCTGTACAGTTTTGCAACCCCAATGTGGCTCTTATGTGGAGCCAGGATTTCAGCCTATGTTCAATTCATGGTCTGTTATGTATAGGTGCTCATGTAACCTTTGGGTGGGCTAGAGTTCACTTCATTACCCTTCTCCAGTGCCTACAAAACCCCCAACTCCTATAGAAAAGTAGCTGGAGACCCAGAGTTCAGTCTCTAAGGATTTTCATCAAGGATTGCACAGGGTCAACCTCCCCACATTCAAGTCCCAAAAGGAACTAAAGAAATGAATTTAATTAAATAACTTTATAAAATCTTATGATAAAGAAACACATAATCTAATTTTTACAACATGACATGGGTATGTTATAATCCACAGACATTACCTTCATAGTTATACATAAACATAAATAAAGAAAACAAATTAAAATCTGAACAGTTCAGTCCCCACAGAAATACAGTGAGAAGAAACTGAAAGTTCCCAAAAGCTTAGGTTTTGTTCACCTAAGTCTCAGTTAGTCTTTGATCACCAAATCTATACAGTCTGCTGAGTCTAAAACACCATCTTCCCTCCTCTTGCTTGTAGGAATCTTCAGTTGGAATCCATGCAGACTCTTCCTCTGCTGAAATCACTGCTAGCCAATCAGCTAACTGATTAACCAATCACTCAGTTAAATATTTAGATTTAAAGAAAACCCTGCTGCAAAATGTTTCAGAGTTAGGGACAAGAGCCTGCTTTCTGCTCCTGGGCTCAGCTTCTCCCAACTCACACAGGGCACATAACCTTCTGCACAGCAGCTGCCCAGACTGCTTGCCGTCATGGAATCTGACCCCAGCAATAGGGAACCTACTAGAGCATACCCAAAACTACCATACCCAATTCCAGAAGCTTCTGCATGTGGAGTGCTAAATCCACCTAGCAACAATGACCCAGACACAGCTCATTTCTATCTCCCCACAATGGGTCTCTTAACCAGATATCTCCCTATTAGGCACATGGGTTACACTCACGTGACACAATCCTGTATTTTTAAGGCTATGGACATTTTTAAAAAATGCTTAAATGTAGAATAGATGCACAAGTTCACCTTGTAATGGATGTATTATGGATACAGAATTATTATCATGCTCGTAAACATACATTTTCATCTTTCTCTGCGGCATCTGTGGTTGTTGGCAGGGGAATTGTTGGGCCAGATTTTGATGTCGTAACTGCACTGCATGTCTGAGATTTGTTTTAATTTATGTACGGTTCTTAAATTAACCTTCTTGCTTATGGTACTATCTCTGTGAAACCCCCACCTGCCAAACATGCTGCTTCTCAGATCTGCATTCTGGGCTATATACTTCCAAGTCCAGAATTCCCATTGGAGTGAATGGGAGGTTAACATGAGGAGTGAGGACTGTATATATGTCCCACTATTCGCATTCTTGAAAGGATTGTGTTGGATTCTTTGGGAGGAAAAGAGGAAAAATAGAGTAAGAATTAGTCAAAGGTTTCAATTCCTGCTAGTTTAACATGTTTACAAGATGGAACTAGAACCTATATTTGATGTTTCATGTCCTAATGTTGTCAGGTGTTCCGGGTGGGTTTGAGTTCATAAGCTCTTTCTTTTATTGTACATTTGGTGGTATTAAAAGTCCATGATAGATACCTCAATTGTAACTGGTCTCTCTCCTTTCCTTTAGAGGTATAATCAGTTACTGAGCTTCATGTAGCTATTGCATTATATCATAGGAGGGGAAAAAAGCTGAACAAAGGCCTAGGTCATCTCATAGAAAAAAAACATATGTACTGAAAGGTGTACACTACACAGGTTCAGTACACAGTTTTCAAGAGATGTTTCTGTAGTTGTTACACTGTCAAAATGTAATATTGATTGATCCACAAGATCATGCTTCCAACTACAATGTACCATTCGGTGATTAGTGGTGCTGGAACAATTTGTATCGTGGGGGTGCTGAGAGCTATTGAACCAAACTATAAACCCTGTATATGATGGAAACCACTTCAAGTCAGAGGATGCAGCTGCACCCCCAGTTCCCCTAGTTCCAGCACTTATTATGATTGTGATGAGCTAGCATTCGTAAAAGAGACTGTTAATGTAGAACATAAAACCAAAGAGGCTGTATTAAGATCTGACTCGCGTGTTTTGTTATGGTCTGTGATCCCTTGTGTATCTACGGCAGAAGCATTCCTTTGTTTCCATGTTTTTATTTCAGGTGATTAAAGAGGCTATACATGGCTAAATCTCACTTTGGGACAAATGTTTATCTCCAATACACACTGAAAACAGAAGAAAAAGTTAGAAATGACTTACTTTATATAAGGCTCACTTGAAGAATGTCTCCTGATCAAAGCTTTGCTACCTTCATTTCTCCTTGTAATTGAGAATTTGATAGAGCATCCTTTTAGCTAGCCCAGTGGTGCACTATCTTCCCTTTTTGTTTTTTTAAGATTTTGACTCAGTCTACCAGTGGTTACCACTAGAAAGTCAGGGCTCCATTGCAGTCAATGGTAAAATTCCCATTGACTTGAGTAGAGCCAGGATTTCACCATCAGTAGTTTACCAAATGTGATATGTGAAGTACTGCAGTATTTCCCTTTATTTAGAATAGGAAATAAATGTGTTACCTTATCTCAGAGAACATGTGTGTTAACTGGCGGTAAATGTTAACTTTGTACTGGTGATAACATTCTGTATTTTCTCAACATACCTAGTACTTTTGTATTTGTCTGGAGTATTTTGGATTCTCAGTGGGTTTTGGTACTATACAAGTGATCTGCACAGTGAGTACCAGGTGTATTGTACTACATGTGTTGGACACATAGGGACTTTCACCCTCTGTTCGTGTGTCAGAAATTTCTATGCAAAAGCGATCTTATTTGTACTAATATATCACATTATTTAAATCATAGCATTTATAAATATCAATTTTAGTAACTAGTTTAGCAACTTCTAAATAAGTGCTACATACAGTATGTTAGACATTTGGGGCTTGATCCTATATGATTGCAGCCCATAGGAATTATGCCACTGAAGTCAATAGGAACGGGATCTTTGGTTGTGATTTTCATACAATGACATACATGCCTATTTTTTCATGTGCATCAGCTTGCCTACTTTTGCACATATCTTTAGTGTCTCTGTACACACCTCTCTGGTTTGTGCAGATCCATGGTAAGTTTCTGTGAAAAAGGAAGTGTATTAATTTGCAACTACATTTTAATAGTAAATGGTGCATGCGTTGTTTAACCTGTTGATTTTACATTCTTTCTGGCTGTTGTATCCCTGCCTGGCTATCTTTCATTGTGTCTCAGATCAGTTTAAATTTTACTCTCTGAGGTCATCTTCTTTGTGTGGCTGGGTCGTAAACGCGGACTCTGTAATATTATTAGTGCAGCTTAGCACCTGTTTTATCACTTGAAAAATTTCTCTTGGATTTATAAATTGTGAAAGCCCTGTGTAAACAAATGGTCAAACGCAAGCTTCTAAAGACACCATCGTGACTCTTTAAGCTATGACCAAAAGAGCCGAAAAGTACCTCACAAGTTGCAATTAGAGACAGAGGCCTATTTTTCCTGGTGTTTTCTTTGACATAACTTACACTTTAGTGACTGGGAAGACATTATTTAACATCCCTCTCCAAATCCAACTTGAACCTGTCCATTTAAATATACTGTGCTTCAAATCCTTGTATTTTGACTCCTTGGTTTAGTTAAATCCTAGACTGCTAAATGGAACTCTGTTAGAGTCAATATTTAGATAGTAACCCTATTTGTAAATATTTTGAAATACAGGTTAAGTCAGCGGATCAAATAAATTGTTTGACACTGTTGTTTTTATTCCAACCGGACACCAGTAAGCAAAGCTCACTTGCAATGAGAATCTGAGACTGGAGATTCCTGCTTTGAGCTTCATTTGAGACATTTTTGCGATGCTTCATTGCTGCTTCTTTTTTTTTTTTTTTTTTTTGGCCAGAACATCTTTTGGGTTAGATTTACGGGCAGTCAATATCTAAATGCTGGCTTAATATGTTACCTATATTCTAGCTTGAATGCTAGCAACTTAACCGTAAGTTTGGGCCTACCTTTCTGCCAATTTGCGGGAGATTTATGGACATAACTCCTATTACTGATTGTGGAATTTGCAAGTGTTAAATCATCACCACATCAGTGGAAGACTAGGCCACTAAAGGGTAGTTAAAATGAATATCAAAATTCCAAAGTATTTGTATTTTAAATCAGATTTTCTTCAAACTTTCCCACCCTTCGTTAGCTAATCATAGTACTTACTATAGTACCCTACAGTAAGTCACTGACTTTCAGTAGCATTTGTATATTTCAGATCTGATTATAACAAATTACTCTTA